ATCTTCCTTTGAAAGCCCTAACCCCACTTTCTGATCCTTTCAAACTCCTCCTTCCAGTTCCCTTCATTATCTATTCCCATTGTTTATTCAATCTCTCAGACCTTCCAAACAGAATTCTCACCTAGACCCTTTTCCCAACCACTCTCCCCTTCCTCTGGCCACCCAAAGTTACTTTAGTGTATATAAGATCCTCCCTGGCACCCATTCAAATGCTGAGACTTTCTCATGCCCAAAAGGCTGAGACTGTCTCATGCCTGCTCGTCCCTATGGGCGTTACTAATCTTCTGGTTCCTTAAGAATCTGGCCTATATGATTTATCTCTAATAAACTATTTCTCTGGCTAGAAGAAGATTTGAGTGGAATTCATTCAGGCAGGGCCCGTGTTGAGATCTTGGGGTTCCAAGCACCCCAAAACCTCTAGACCTCTTCACCTCCCTACTTTTCTTCAACGTCTATCTAAATACTTCTTGTTCCCATTAGTCATATAATCAATGGATTTAGAACTGGAAGAAAGAAAGTGGTATAATGGTTAGGGCACTGGACTTTGAATCAAGAAGAATGAGGTATGATCTTGGATACAGGTTAACCTCTAGGATCTTCATTGTCCTCATCTAGAGAATGCAAGGATTGATCTCAAAGACCTTAAATGTCCCTTCTACCTCTAAATCTATGAGCCTATGGGATTTTCAACATCATCTTGTTTTGCCTCCTCTCATCACAGATTAAGAAACTGAGGTCCAGGAAGGAAGAGGAAGTAAATAGCAGAGCAGGAATTCAAGTCCAAGCCTTCCAGTATTCTTTCTAGCACACATATAGTCCCTCTCCCAGGCCCTCCTGACTGTTCAATGACCTGACACAGATCCATCATGTTCCAGCAAAACAGATTTTTAAAAACCTAGTTCACACATGGTATAGGAGTCAAGTACAACCTACCCATCTGTCTTCCTCCTGCACCAAATGTGGCACTAAGGGATTTGGATCAATTAGTCACTATAATTTGAGGCTGAAGATAATTAATTACATAAAATTAAATGCATGTGGTCCATATATATGTGAATTTCTGATCATGTGACCTTCTATTTAAATTAAAAAAAAATACTTGCCCCTGCACTAGGCTCTAATCTGAGTCCTCTGGTCCTCACTCAAACATCTGTCAACCAGCCAATCTATTTTTTCTGTCTCTTAACCCAAACCACCCAATGGACCACCCACAGAGAAAGCTCTTTGTGAAAATGAGCACTACATCCTCAGGCCAACTGCTTTCAATGGTTGCTGAGGGGGTAGGGGACACTCCTCCAGATCTGTCTTGAGTTCCCAAAGAGGCAAATGTTATAGATAAGCTTCTTAAAGTTAGAGATATTGCTTATCTATATTTTGTTTCACACTTCCACTCCTCCCTCAGTGCCTAACAGAGGGCTTTGCATATAGTAGGATCATAAGATTTGGAGTTAGAAGGAAAGGTAGGCACTGAATGAATGAATGATTGAATAATTTAGGAACCCAAAAGTAACATATCCTGACTTGCACCTAAGAAGACATTAATATCACACTCCAGAGTATACAGTGCAGGAATTCCATAAGTGCACAAGTCAAAGACAGCAATACAGGAAGCTAGGTAGCCTGAGACACTTTGGACTTTTCCCTCAGGTAAAAGAACATTGATACTTCTGGCTAGTTATATATCCTGGACAATAAACCTCAACCATTTCCTCAATAGATAAGTTATCAAAGGATATGAACAAGCAGTTTTCAAAAGTAGATTTGAAAACAATAAATGGACATGTGAATCACATAGAATGTATCTCAAAAAGAGAAATTCAAATCAAAATAATGGTGAGGTTTTACTTCACTCCATGCAAATTGGCAAAGATGGCAAAAGATGGAAACAATTGAAGTCAGAGGGGCTATAAGAAGACAGACATACTCCTGTGCTATTGGTGGAGCTGTGAAGTGGTTCTGGGTTTCAATTTGGCGTGATGTAAAAGAGTGACCAAACTGTCTACAGCATTGTTGAGCACAGAGCCCAAGGACATCACATGGAAACAAGATAAGGTTTAGTACATATTAAAATATTCATCGAAAGATTCTTTGTGGTAGCAAAGAACAGTGAGCAAAGTGGATGGCTGTCAATTGGGGAACAACATAAAAATCTGTGGTATATGAATGTCATGTGTTATTGCAGTACAATGAGGAATGACAAAGGTGAGGGATTCAAAGTAACAGTGCAAAATGAATGAACTCACAGTGAAATAAGCAGAATTGAGAAAAACATACACAATGACTACAAAAATACAGATGAAAAGGAAGTTGAACTCTAAGCAAAGGGAAAACTAACCAAAGTCCAAGAGGAGAGATAATGAACCACACCTCCTGCCTTGGGGGAGGGGGGAGGGCAGCAACTAGGACAGAATATTGTATGCCTTGTAAAGTGAGTTTTCTGTATCTGATTTTGTTTGTTTGTTTGTTTGTTTTTTTGTAATAAAAAGTTCAATCTGGGAGAGCAATGGGAAATACCTGTCATCTTAAGACAAAAAAGGATAAAGAAAACACTTTTGTTTTTTTTTCAAAGACCTCAATCTTTTCCTGGAACAGACTACAAGCAAAATCTTGCTTTTATAGGGAGTCTTGCCTTGTTGAGGAAATAATAAGTATAGCTTATATCTATCTAGAATTTTAAGGTTTGCAAAGCACTTTATATAATCAGTCCATCAATAGGCATTGATTAAGTACTTACAACATGCCAGACAATGTGCTAAGCAATGGAGTTTGGGGAGAAATAGAAAAAAAAAGGCAAAAACAGCATCCCTGCCCTCAAGGAGTTCACAATCTAATTGGGAAGACAACTTGTTGACTCTTATGAACATACAAGAGATATACGGGACAGGTGGGAAAAAATCTCAGAGGGAAGGCACCAGGAAGAGCTTCTTGAAGAAGGGGGGATTTTAGCTGAAAGACATCTTGAAGGAAGCTAGGGAAACCAGGAGGCAGAGGGAAGGAGGAAAACCATTCTAATCACAGGGTGCAGTTTATCTCATCTGAGTCTTCCAGAAGCCACTCGAGATTAATGCTTTAATATCTCCACTTTACAGAAGTGGGAGCTGAGATTCAGAAAAGTTAAGTGGTTTGTCATAAAGCTATGAAGGGGTCCGAGGTAGAACTGCTAACCCAGGTTTCTCTGGTCTCCAAGGCAAGAACTATCCATTACACCCAAGGGCATCAGTAAAGAGTAAAGAGGCAACAGATAATACAGTGTTTGAATTAAGCAAATTGGGCTTAATTTAAACAAAAACTCTCTATTGAAATGGATAACCTAGATATTTAGTATTCTTTGTGGGAAAGAATTTTAGGATTTAAAGGTAATCTCAGGTTCCTATTCTGGTGAGGGGAAAAGGGAAAAATGTGTTAATCTAATAATCCCAAGTCATATTCAATTGATTTGAGAAAATGCATTAATTAAAATCTTAATATGTTCAGGAAATCAAGATGATGATTGAGAACAGGGATTTTCCACCTTTGTTGCATCATAGACCCTTTTGACAATCTGAAGAAACCTACTTTTTTCAAAATAATGTTTTTTTAAATTCATATTTAAAGGAAATGCACAATTTTAGTTAGCGGTGAGTAAAAATAAAAATGCAATTGTTTTTCCATCCAAGTTCATAGCCTCCCTGAAATCTATCGCTAGAGGGTCTTTAAACCCCAGCTGAAGAATACTTTATGTAAAACATTCCCTTGTGGGATGCTCAGATCAATTTCAGAGCCCAAACTACCCCCAAATTAGTGTGTGACTAATGTCCACTGGCTTGAGGCAGTAACTGCAGTCACAGAATAATAGAAGTCACAGAAAGCTCCAGGCACATGCTGTACCAAGCCTCCAGTCGGGAGAGATAATCTCTTGCTATGTTCTGAGTCCCTTTGGCTGACAAGGGAGGGCTAATAATACAAGAGCCCTGGCAGCCCTGAACAAGCCTTGGCCTGCTAAGCAAAGAGGGCCTCAGAACTAAGTAGTAAGCCCACAGACTTTCACCTTATGCAGAGCCCCTCATCCCCTCCCTCCTCCCAGCCTGGCCCCCTCCCTCCAACTCAATCCCAGGAATACTTACTTTGCTGGCAGATAGATACAACAGTGACTGCAGCCAGTAAGACTGAATCACTAGCCATCTCTCCTCTGGCCTCTTCCTGATGGCTGAATTATTTGTAGAATGGGAGGGAGAGGAAAGAAAGCCTGTCCACCTTGTGAAGGTGAAACACCTTACAAAGCAAGCAAGTTTTTCTGAAGGCAGCGGGAAACAAACAAAAGAGACTTGTCCTAGAAATTAAAGTTACCTTTGCTCAGGTACAAGGATCAGGCCTGCAGGCAGGTCTGTAAACAATGGGCTTGATCCGCTCTGAAGCTTACTTCCAGAAAGGGCATTAACTCTTTCAAGACAGTGGGGGTGCCAGTCACTCCTTTAGATGATTGCAATCCGGAATTTCCTTTTAAGCCTTTTAAAAATGAGGTATTTCACTCTTTTTATGTATCAAGGTGTGGGGGTGTTTGTGACCCCCAAAATGATCAAATCAGAGACTTAATTTAACAACATTGTAGATTATAAAAGAAATTGCCCTTCCAGCAACATAACTAACACAATTGCTTACCATATTACATCAAATAAGAAAATTCAGAAGCAAGTAAGCAGTATATTAAAACTTGAAACAGACCCAATAAAAATCCTTCTTTCTTTCTGAACCCTTTCACTTGGTCCAACAGCCTCCAGGGACCATTCCCACCCCTATAGACTGGCTTTTTTCCTATTGTCTATACTAGACCATCATTGTCTTTTTACTGGTAGCCACAATGAAAGGCCAGTTAATGGGATTATCCAGAGATTTGGCCAGGTAGGAATAGAATTACCAAGGGTGGGAAATGGAGCCTAGGTGGGACCAAGGGTGGGAAGTGGTCTGGGGCCATTGGGAAGCAAGACAATGGAGGGGAGATTGGGTGTAACCACAATGAAAGACCAGTTGATGGGGTTATAGCCTCAGGGGAAAGCCAAAGATTTGGCCACGAGAAAGTCCAGGGTTTTTCCTTTCTGGGCCCAGATTCCAACCCCATCATTACCACAGGGCATACATTATAAAATTATTTCCACAATTGCAATAAACTTTGAAAGGACCCATTATCAATTTAGATGGATGTACTTCTAAGTCACTTTGTACAGAAAATCATTCATCTCATCATTAATATGTTGAGACTATAACTTTAAACCACCATACATTTTTATAATAGTCAAGATTTTAAATAAATAATTAAAATCTGCTATAATAGTCTTATAACCAAATACATCTCACTAGGTATTTAACAGTTTTCAAATTATCTCATCTTTATCACTAAAAGACCCACTGCAGGTCGAGTTACCTTAACACCATTTCTACCTCATAATGGTCCCTCAAATTTTACAATCTAGGAGTTTTAGAAATACAATACAATTTAGAAATACAGTAACAACTTAAACAATAAACTTCAAATAACATCAATTGCATTTCCATATTATCACATATAGAAATGATCACTCTTATTACTCTTAGCACTTTTAACTTTTAACATTAACTAATAGTGCCACATCTCATAACCATTATTATTTTTTTGGAACAGTAAACTTAAATCCAATCAGATCTGAATTTATAATCACTAATGATAAACATTTAAAAACATTTTTGTTTTAAATCCAATACTCTTGGCCCTTTAAAAGGAAATATTTTCCACAAATTTATATATTCCCTTAAAAAGACATGTGGTGACAATTCCTGCTCTAACTTCTCCTTTTCTTTTTTGTCTTTCCCTTCACATTCAAAAATTTGGCCAGATTTAGAATGTAAAGAGAGAAAGACAATTTTTTTTTCCAAGGAATTTTCCAAAAGTTTCCAACCCTTTTACTCTCAAACCCTCTGTTCACACTGTTCATGCAAATAGCTTATACTTCTCTTTCTACCCAGACTCCTTTCATTTCTACATGCTTAAACTTTCTTGCCTTTCCTTCTGATGGACTTCGATTAGTCCCTTTGAAACTGTACATATCTTATTTCTTTCTAAGTCTAACCTGACACTTCTCTTACCCTCCTCAACTGGCTTTTTCCAATCATATAACCTAAACAAAGCATTTCTTTTCTCTTACTTTCTCTCATCCACTCTCTCCTCTAAGGCTGTTGTAATCAAGGAGGGAGAGAGGAGATAAAGAGAAAACAGTTTCCAAGCAATAAATCCAGCTGCAGCTCTTAGAAGCTACTTTTGCTGGCTGTATTTTTATCCTTTTATGTTTTGATAGTGCACTTAATTACTCAATCTGCTTCCTATATTTTTGGTAATTCATCCCAATAGCTAAACCAGCCCTTAAGGGCCTATCTTCTGGAATATTTGATAAAGGATCCTGATCTCTGCCACCCTGATCTTTCTAGAAAAAGTGGGACCACTCTTACAGACTCAAACTGCTTAGAGCTTCCTTTTTCATCAACCGTGTGCCTTACAGACTCAAACCACCTAGGCTCTGGGGAACCTGGTAACCCAGGGTCTTGGCCTTGGCTACCTTACGGACTCTAACTGCCTAGGGGCACAAAGGACTCATGGATCTTGCTTATCTGGGTCTGTGAGCACAAACTTACCTGACCACTTCAGTTTCACTTTCTTGGTGGCTTCCATGGTTCCTTTGTTAGCGTGGTGGAGCTCCATTAATTTGTTTTTGCCTCTCAAGATCATCTCTTTTTGGGTCCTTGCCTAATCAGGACAGGGATCTCAGACACCGAATCCTCGGGCCACCAGAAATTCACCAGTGGGTGCCAGCCCTGGGATGGGTGTGGGAGATCTCTCCTAAAAAGGTGGGATTCCGGACAATTCCCCATAACTGTGTGGGGTGTTTGTGACCTCCAAAATGATCAAATCAGAGACTTTTTCTTAAGAAAGGCAAAAAGGAGTTTTATTGCTTTCTCATGAGAAGGACACACCCAGCATTCGCTCACGATGGCTCCAGCCAGGTTGTGTGTCTGAGTGTCTTGTAAAGCAGAATATATAGACCCTATCCACAATATCTCCACCCTAACCCCCTTCCCCTCAACCCATTGGCTGGGTATATTAGGGGCATAATCTGTTCGAGGAATTCTAACTTCACTGAAGGAAGTTCAAAACAAGTTAGAGGGTTTTCTGCATCCACCTTCCCACCCCGAAACTGAAAATGTTCTTTTTATCATCAGATTTTTCTAGAGTGCTTTGCTAAACTTCTCCACTTTCCCCATTATTCTCTACCTTTTATTATCTTTTTCTGTAATGATTATAGCCAAGGAATTACCTTCCATCCCAATTCTGGATCAACTCTGCCTATACTGTAGCTCATGGAAAATGGCTTCTAGCTGGACAGTTTTCCAAGGATGCTTTTGCTTCTTTTAGAATTCACTTTGGTTAATAATCAAAGTTGTCAAACAAAATTCTCTGCTGATTTATCTATCAAGGAATTCTGCATTAGGGTGGGATTTCACCCAGGAGCTCACCCATTTAAATGACTAATCGACCATGTTGCTAGCTAGTTAAATTACTTCCTCTCCAGTTAAGGATTATTGTTGTGGTTGTTCAGTCACTTAGTGACTCCATTTGGGGTTTTCTTGGCAAAGATGCTAGAGTAGATTGCCCTTTCCTTCTCCAGCTCATTTTGTGTGGGAGGAGTCTCATCTTAGTGATACTACCATCTTGAGATAACAGGGTACCATTGCTCTCCTGATGTCAGGGATGTCTCCAGAGGCTACTGCCAGAGTGCTGTTGTAGAGTAATGATGATGATGCTCCGAAATAGAGGAGGCTTAGTACAATGTTCCAAAACAATTCTGAAGGACTGAAGATAAAAAATGCTCTCCAACTTGAGAGAAAGAATTGATGAAGGCTGAATGTGGATTCAAGCATACTTTTAAAAACTTTTTTATTCCTTTGGGGGTCTGCATTTTCTTTTGCAGCATGACTAATATGGATGTGTTTTGATTGACTACACAATTATAATCTACATCAAACTGTTGCCTTCTCAAAGAGAGGGGAGAGGGAGGGAAAAGAGAATTTGGAACTCAAAAGTTTAAAAAAAAACAAATTTTTTTTGTTTACATGTAATTGAGAAAAAAATAAAATAAAAATTAAATGTAAAAATAGGAAAAGAAAAAAACTGATGTTATGAACAATACATTCAAGAAAGTTCATAATAAATTTTATAATTAAATATTTAAAAGGATGTTGGTGACTAATGTGGAAATATGTTTAACATGATTGCACATGTATAACCTATATCAGATTGCTTGGTGTCTTGTAGAGGGGGCAGGGAAAGGAGAGAGGGAGAAAGATTTGGAATTCAAAATCTTACAAAAATAAATGCCGAAAATTATCTTTACATATAATTAAGGGAAAAAATTAAATACTATTAAGAAGAAGGAGAAAAAAAGGATGTTGGTCCCAGAGAGAGAAACAATACAATTGAGGACCACAACAGAGTTAGAACTTCCACTGAATCAGGAAATATAAGATGTCTAGAGAAGGAAATGTAAAAGGAATCATTTTAATAAATAAGACCTCAACAGATGAGTAGAGAGTAGGAAATTGAGGGGAGACTTTTGACAAAATAAAATTTTTTTGCTCCCTTCTATTTGTGTACCCTTGTTCTTCCCCTATAGACATTCCTCTCCCTCTAGAGCAATCACACCAAACAAGACATTGCAAAACCATATTGAAGCTGTCACTATATTTCCAATTAAAAATCCCAATCATTTCTACCCCGTCCCAATGGATGGAAGGAATGAAGGGCAGAACAACTCCAGTCTAAAGTGCCTAGGTGTGACCTCCATTGGGAATCTGCAAGGTCCATCATGCTGACGTGAGAAAAGGTGAGAACTCAGCCCCATTGCAGAGACTAGAAGCACTTTGGAACACGGGAGTTATCTCCTTTTGAGAGAGGAATAAAACCAGGAGCTAGAAGGGACAAGCTGTAAGAAAGGACCCCAATAAGTCAGTTCTCACATCTTTTGCTGGTAGAGCTCTCAGAAAGGAGCTAGCCTTATTGTTTCTGAGTGGAATGTCTGAGAAGAATGGAATCAGAAGTTTCCCTTTGGAAAGAAAGAAAGAAACATTTGTATATAAAAAATACCATCTTGGTCCCAACCAGTGAACCGTAACAGTGAGAGGGAACAAAAGAGAAAGGCTGAGGAGGGAGGAAAAACAAAGTAGAATACGTATATTGGTTATGGAGGGATGCAGTCTGGGGAAAGAGATGGTGATCGG